GCAGAGCCACGGCATTGTAATTGGTAAAAGTGTCTCTGATCTACAGTCCCTGTGTACATTTCCTCATTGTTCCAGTTTTGTCCTTTATGGTTGTTTCTTTTTGTTGCTCTGTCTAGGATCTGATCAGAGATTACATTGAATTGTCACACTTCTTAACTCTTCTTTAATCTATAGCCATTTCCTGGACGATTTTTTATCTTCCGTAACACCAAGTTTTTAAAAGATTTTAGATCAGTTGTTTTATGGATATCCTTAAGTTCTCTTGATATCCTTGTCTAGATTCAGATTTTTTAAAATATGTGGGCAGAGCACTTAGTGAAGTTGTATTTTTCTCAGTGCATCACTTTTGGAAGCACATGATGTCATTGTTTTGCACTATTGGTGACGGCACATGTCTCACTCACTTCATCTTTGGGGGTTCAAAATACTCGATACCTACAACTCAGGGAAGGAGAGTTTTAGTTCGGCTTATGTTTCAGCCCCCAGTTGGTTGGCTGAAATATGGGCCAGCAGTCTAGGGCAAGGAGGTAGGATGGGCATGATGGGTGGCAGGAGGAGAGCTGTTGACGACAGGGCTCACAGGAAGCAGAGAGGAAGGGAGGAGCCAGGAAGGGAGATGCATACTTTCAGGTCATGTCCCCAATGTTTCCTTCTGACCAGGGCCTACCACCTAACAGCAAGTCAGCTATTCTGCCCATTAATCCAGTTACCTTTTAAAAGTCCTGCCTGTGAGTTCATGAGGTTCTTGGCAGACATCTAGATATAAACATCAGGGTTGATCATTCAGTTAAGATGGTGTTCATCAGAATGCTTCTTGTTATAAGCATTCTCTGGAGGGTTACTGTAAGATATGTGAGGATCTTTTTTCCAATAATGTCTCACCTGTTAGTTTCTATTGATTCTTATCTGAATTACTTGTATTCTTTTGTGAAGTGTTGAGTTTCCATTTTGCTCCTTCCTTCTATGTTTCTTAGTTATATTTTCTGTAACCAGAGTGTTCCTTTTTCTGGTAGGCAGAATACTAGTCGACTGAAAAAATCTACCTCCTGATTTTCAGAACCTGTGACTATGATACCGTGCAAGGCAAAGCAGAGTTGCTATTGTAGATGTAATTAAAGTATGTTGACTTTAGGATAAGGAGGTTATCCAGGAGGGCCCAGTATAATCATGAGAGTTTGCTGAAGTGGAAGAGGGAGACTGAGCAATGCCATCAGGAACAATAGGCTCGTAATTGTTGGCTGTGTAGATGGAGAAGAAGACTGCAAGCCAAGGGCTGTGGAGCCTAGAAATGAAATGAAATGAGAAAGGTCTATGGAGGATTTTCTTGTCTCAGGGGGGTGAATCCATCCACAAGGGTCCTGTAAGTTTCTTTAGCATGTAATGCCAGCAAATATACTGCATCTTAGACTGAAAGTGAGCTAGGAAATTAGGGCATGGCAAAGCTGTCTGGGGAAGTAGCCATGACCTGTTAATTGCAAAGAGCCCAGAACATGTTTGCAGAGAAGTTTCCAAAGTCCTGTACATAGACTTCTTGCTAGAACTCTTCCAGGCTTTCAATAGGACGGTGCAGACCTTCTCTCAGCCTAAGGCATGGGATCCTGGCACTGCCTCTCAGGAGCCATATGTGGGAGTTGTCTCATATTTCCTTGAGAGTTGGCCTGCATACAAGACAGCAGCGTCTTTCTTCATGGCAGCTGGCCCTGCTTTCTCCAAGATGCCCTTTTATTGTATTTTTCTCTTTTTATTCAGCCCAAGCTTGCTGTGCAGAGTCAGTTTCTCCCTCACTTTTCTTTCTCAAAGAAATTTGGCCACCATTTTTCGCTTGTTTTGTTCAACCCTTTATTCTAGACACAAAGAACTTGCAGTCTAACTCCAGAGGAAGAGGCGAGCAACCTAGACCCCCATAATGTTTAACTGGCAATTCACTTGTAAAAGGAGCTACCTGATAACAAAAGCAACAGCCCAAGGATGAAACCAAAAAAGCTGCTGGCTCTCCAAATTCTGCAAACAAAACAAGATGAGGAAACTGCTTAGCTGCGAAAATGTGCTAACTTTTATGGAAAAAGAAGCCTGACTTCGAAAATGGGGCCTTAAACCCAGAGGGCAGACCTGTGAATTACAGAAAATTGTTCCGTGGTTTGAAACCTAATGGAGTTTGCTTGGCTAGATTTTGAAATTATCAAGATGTATGGCTCCTATTTTTCCTTCAGTTCTTTTCCATTTTTAAACCAGGATATCTATAACTAGTGTTCTATGCTGACCTGTGTTATATTTTGGAAACAAATAACTTGTATCTATTTTTTTGGTCCACAGATGAAGAGCAGATTTTCCCCTGGGTAAATCATACCTATGTTTCATTTAGATGATAAGATTTGGGATAGTTTTGTTATTGTCATTTGTTTTGGTACTGGGGGTTGAACTCAGGGCCTTTGGTCTGAGCTACATCCTTGCCCTATTTTCTAGTTTTTATTTTGAGATAGGATCTTGCTAAATTTCCCAAGCTGAGGTTGGGTTTGCAATTCTTCTGCATCAGCCTCCCAGAGTGCTGGGATCACAGGTGTATGCCTCTCTATCCAGTGAGATTTGGGGGTTTTGAGCTGGTAAACTGAGGTGCTATTTTAGACTTAGACCTCCGGTTGACCGTATCTTGCATGTGAGAGGGTGGTGAATCTTGGAGGTGTTGAATGTGGACCATGGTAAGCTCCCCCAATATGTTTACATCCTAATCTTTGAAGCTCCCCAGATGTCTTTGAGTTAAGGAGATGATCCTGGATTACCCAGGTGTGTCCAGCATAATCAAAAGCCTTTCCAAATGGAATAAGGAGCTAGAAGAGGCCAGAGAGATACAGTGTGAGAAAAACTAGACCTGCCATTACTTCCTTTGATAATAAATGAAGAGGACCAGAGGCACAAACTGTTGCCACTGGAATCTGGAAAAAGCACACAAATCCTATCCAGAGTCTACAGAAGGGAGCATAACTGTCATTGCCTTGATTTTAGCCTGATAAGAGACCTGTGTTAGTCTTCTGACCTCCAGAACTCTAATATGATAAATGTTTGTTTAAGCTATGGAATTTCTGTTAATAATAGCAGAAGAAAACAAGCAGACCTTCTCACCTTGTCATTGTGTTCTCATGAATTCTTTTATAAGTGCATTGTAAGTCTGTCACTATTTTCCTCACAGAAGCTGATGTAGAATTGAAAGTCCAAGTTGAGCCTGGGCAGCTTAGTGAGACCCTGTCTCAAAAATAAATCACGTTCAGATTGTCTCAGATTTAGATTTGTCCATTTGTGACATGTTCCCAATCAATTTTTGAGCACTTCCATGTGTTTTGGAATAGCAAGATGTTCCAGGCCTATCTAGTGCTTTCCCTCTCCAACTTGGAATCAGAACACGTATTCCTAATCAGTGCCCTGTACTGAGTGTCTATTCTGCTCCGAAGTAAAGTAAACACATAGAGTCTGGTCTATTTCTCTTATAACCATAATGCAATGGCAACATAAGAGTGATAGATCATTGGGAAAAGCCTGTAACTGGACTTGAGGAGCTTGCCACGGGGAGAATTACACAGTGTACGGAATGTCCAGCTTGTTCATGCCAGGCTTTCACAGAGTCCCTGCCAGGCCTGGGCAAGGACAACAATGATTTATGAACATTTTTATATAAAAGAGATGGCTGTCTTTAAATGGTTTTGACAGTGGATGCTAAATATTGTCCTAGAGTCTGTCTGTAAGGTTTGTGCTGATTCAGAAAATTTTTTATATGGATTCCTTGTAAAATATTGTTCTGTAGGTCTAACTATGTAACTCAAGGTGGGCTTGAACTCATGGTGATCCTCCTGCCTCAGCTTCCTGAGTGCTGGGATTATAGGCATGTGCTACCAAGCCCAGCATTCTGTAGAACTCTTATCTAATTTTCTCAGTGTGGAGTGGCCCATGGAAAGAGGTTGATTTTAATCGTCCAGGGCAAATGGTCCTCTTTGGGACTGCATCACGATCTGATGTGATAAGACTTCCCTGTCTGACAGGCTGATAGGCACAGTTCCTACAGGGGCCTGGCATGAAGTGTGCTTGGTAGACGCAGGCCTGGCGCTGGCTGAAGTGGATGGCGTGGGCCTGTCCTTCAGGGGACAGTTGCTGGTCTCCAGATGACTCTTATGTTGGAGATAAGAGAACCCAAGGTTGCCAGGTTTTTCAAGAAAAGTCCCTAAATCCAGATTTTTCTATTAATTCTCTCAATTTCAAAAGGTTAGCAATGAATTCACTTTTGTTTTTGGAGTACTGCAAGGAATGAACAAACCATGTCTGCTGGCTGGATTTGCCCTTGGGCCACCAATTTCTAACCCGCAGCCTCCAACACATAGGGCTGTCTAGAGAAGGGGTCTTAGCCTTTTGAGTGCCGTGGGTCTCCTTGGCCATCTGGGGATGCTTGGGAACAATTCTCAATAGAATGTTTTTAAAGGAATTAAAAACAAACAAAAAGCCCCAAAACAAAAAATGATACAGAGGAAATCAATTGTATTAAAATATAGTAAGTAAAATATTTTAAAATGATATACATGCTTTATCAGTATGCTAAATAGCACAGTGTAGTGGAAAGTTTGGTAATTGCCATAATTTAAAAATATGTAAGAATGATATTTTGAGGGAACTGTAACAATTGTGAAGGGCTATTAAAATACCTGATAACTATTGGTAGTGACATCACAGATACCATTACTGCTGCCTGCTTGGTTGCCTGCATTCCTCTTTGAAAGCATTGTTAAAATTTTACCTGGAAATTAGTGAAAGCAAAAATGTAATTTTTTTCTGCTATCCTTGTTTATTGAACCTCACAGTCTTAGGATATTTGGACTCATGGTCCCAAATATCATCAGTTTATTTATAATAGGTGGTTTTATTTTTGTTTTGTGGTATGCAGAATTGAACCCAGGGCTCAAGTTTATTTTGTTTTCATACTCAACTTGCAGGTTAATAAACTTGATTCTGTTTTTCTTTAGAACGTTATCATTTGTCCTATAAGATTGTGCGAACGGACAGTCGCCTGGTGCGCAGCATTCTGACAGCCCATGGATTTCATGAAGTAAGCTTGTTTTTACTATCTCAGCTGACCTACTCAACGGTGGACAATCCTAGCCCCCAGCTCTTGAAAGTACATGGGATCAGTGTTTACTGAGGATGCAGAACTGGATTGAATTTGTTAGTGGCTTTAACCACTTCTCCCTGCAACACAAAGGAGGGCATTTCCGCAGGATTTTATTTTTCTGTTGCTATGTTCTTGAGCTTGTGCTAGATGCTGAGTCCTCATAAAGAGTTATCCGACACCTCATTAAGGTTCTTAGATTGCGATCAATAGAAGTGGACCTCATGTAACTTAAAATGTAAGAGACTTGGAGGAAAAGTGTGCAGGGGTTGGCTAGCAGAATTAGAGAAAAAGCTGAGAAGTCAGGATGAAAGAGAACAGAGTAATTTTGGAAGGTAGAGTCAGTAATCTTCAGGACCATCTCTTCTAGGCACTGTCTTGGACATTATGGACTCCATTCATTGTCCTGTGCCTCTCTTAGGGATAGAGTGACTGAGGAGGTTGGGCATGGTGACACACAACTGTAATCCCAGCGCTCAGGAAGCTGAGCAGGAGGATTACCTGTTTGAGATCAGCCTGGGCTACAGAGTGAGTTGAAGGCCAGCATGAACCATATAGTGAGACCCTGTCTCAATGCATACATACATACATACATACATAGCAATCAAGAAGTAAGTCATTGCCCTAATGAAAATCAGGACAGTTGGGATGTTGTCATAAAAGGACAGGCAAAAGTGCGGAGCAGACCTCTGCTACACATACTTTGAGACCACTGATGAAGGTCTGGTTGCTAGTTCCATATTGTAGGCTGAGATCTATAGGAGACATTTTGGTATTTTCTGATGCCTTTTTTTTTTTTTTTTTTTTTTTTGCACCAGGAATTGAACTCAGGACCTTGCACTTGCCAGGCAAGCGCTGTGCTGCTGAGCTGTAACTCTGGCCCCTGTGGCCTTTTTATATTTAGTCTTTGCTGTTTTATCTCCAGTGCTTGCTATGGCATAGAGTACATAATTGTTCAGTGAATGGATGAGTAAATTCTAATAAACAAATATAATCTGATTTGGTTTGCTACTGTAAGGTTTCAGTTTTAATTAATACTTTCTCCTATTATCTGCAAAGATAAAGTCTAAGAAAGCAGTTTCAGGGTTAAGGTCTAATCTTACACTTTGATAAGAGTATTGAGAAACATCATCAACTTTTAAAGAATTTAAAAGTGAATTTATTTTACTTTTTGCCTTTTTTTTTGTGGAGGGTGGGGCTATGCTTGAACCCAGGGCCTTCACACTGAGCTGTGTATCTAGTCTTTTTGAATTTTTATTTTGAGACATAGAATCAGTTCCCCACGCTGGGTTTGAACTTAAAATCTTCCTGCCTTCGCCTCCCAGAATGCTTGGATAGCAGGTGTGCACCACCATGGCTGGCTTATACTTTTGAGACAGCATCTTGCTAAGTTGCCCAGGCTGTAGGGTACTCCAGCTTCAGCCTCCTGAGTAGCTGTGGTTACAGGTGTGTGCCACCATGCTTGGCATCTTTCTCACTCTTTAAATGTGATGTTGTGTGTTCTGTGCTAGTTACTTTTGTCTCACTAGGCTTACGTACTAATTGGGCTTCCCCTGTAATTTGTCTGTGGATGAAAAATGGCTGTGACTCTCTCGGCCATTGCTCTTCCTGGATAGGGGCTGTCTCTGATGGTTTTTTGCATTCTGTATTTGTGTCTGCCCTCAGGTTCACCCAAGCAGCACTGACTATAACCTGATGTGGACAGGATCCCACTTGAAGCCCTTTTTACTTCGCACTCTCTCTGAAGCACAAAAGGTTAATCACTTTCCCAGGTAATGCCCTTGTAGCTGCTTTGCTGCAGATAAAGATAGTTAAGGCTGGACCCAGGTAGCCAGCAGATAATTAGGTTCTTTCTTTCTTTATTTATTTATTTAATTTTATTTAAGGAGAAAAAGAAAAAAAAAAAAAAAACAGAAAAAGGGTACAAGTTATACAGAATTTCAGAAAAAATAAACAGTAGGAAATTACTAGTTAATAGATTACATATTGTTATCTTAGAAATAGTTCAAGTTACAAAATTAAAGCATATAAAGTGGACTTTCAAACAGTGAGACTGGAAACAACTTTGGTCAATGATCCAACAAAACTCAGTAATATGGTTATCTATCTTATACACTTAAATATATATGCAGTTATATTCTTTAGAGCACTTTCTTTTCCTTTCTTTTGTACAATGATAATTACACATTTTGGGTTTTATTACTCCCACAGTTCTTATTACTTTTTTTGAAGAGAGTAAAACCAAATGTGACAGAAGAGAACAGAGTCAGTCAAATCAAAAGGATGGACATAATAGATAATGTAAAAACAAAATAGGTGATCAACAATAGTTACCATACTGCTTCTTGCTTAAAAAGAATTGCCTATATCCTCAGTTATAATAAAATTGAACAAAACAGTAAAGAATAAAACCAAAATATTGGAGACATTACAGGACTTTAAAAGAAGATAATAGTCAACCAGAATGGGCATCATAATGAATCTTATTGTCTTCACAGTTTTGCCTATACTTTCGAACTTGGTACTATCAAGTAAAGCAGAATAGAGGAAAATCAATCAAAGCAAGATGGTGAGGGCTATACAGGGTTTCAAATCAAGTTAATAGGAAATCAAAGTAGGTTACTATAATGTATCCTGCTATTTTTTTTTATTTTTCCCTTAATTAAAAAGATAAAAATAAAAAAGTAAATAATTTAAAAAGAGATTTAGATAAAAGAGGACATAATAACAAAACAGCTCAGGTCAAAGCATAACCATTTAAGCAAAATAGTGTTTCACCACAAGATATCCTGACATAAAAGTAGTTACCATAGTGTCTCGTTCCTTGAAATCTTTGAGTATAACTTTGTATACTGTAGCACCAAACATATCAAGACAATATAAAACCATTCAAGGGAATGACAGTATTACAGGGTATTTAGAACCAACTATCAGAAAATGAACAATGGTTTCTGTATAATCTCCTTGTCTATAAAAGTTTTTGCTTATATTATCACATATAATAAAAATCCAATAAGATACAATATGTTAAGACTGATGGAGACAAAAAAAAAAAAAAAAAAAAAGAGACCGATGGAGACAGAAGAATAAAAGCTTGATGGGACTTCAAAGCAATATGATACTAACCCAGCACTAGCTACTGTGATGTCTTGTTTTCTCCAAAATAGCTGTTCCTACCATCCAATCTTCTCTGCCTCATTTCTGTTGAGCTCTTTTTCTGCCATTTGTTGTCAGTTTGTCTTCTTCATTTCGCTTTCTGCTCCATTCATTGTGGCCTCTCTGCCACTGTTTCTGAAGTCTTGGTATTTTCCTTTTTTAGAATATCCTGCAGTATTCTCTGTAGAGTTGAATTGGTGGTTGCAAATTCCCCTAGTTCCTCTTTATCCTGGAAGCACCTTGTTTTTCCATCAATTTCTAGGGACAGTTGTGCAGGATATATCAGTTTTGGCTGGAGGTGGTTATCTTTCAAAGCTTGAATTATTTCCCCCCACGCTCTTCATGATTTGATGGTTTGTGCTGAGAAGTCTGCTGTAATTCTGATGGGTGTTCCCTTGTAAGTGATCTGTTTCTTGTCTCTGACGGCTTTCAGTATTCTGTTCTTATATTGGATTTCTGGAATTTTGATTATTATATGCCTGGGTGTAGCTCTGTTTGGGTTGTAGGTGGCTGGGGTCCTGTATGCCTCATATATCTGAGTATCTTTACCTTTTGCTAAATTAGGGAAATTCTCTTGGATTATTTCTGTGAATAGCTTTTGTAGTCCATTTGTTTGTGTCCCTACTTCTTCTTTTATGTTCTTAATTCTTAAGTTATAGATCCTCTTATCGTCTTCTAGCCTTTGTATTATTGCTGTTTGTTTTCTTGTTATTTTTAAGAAGTTTTTCATTTCATGCTCCCATATTACAAATCTGCACTCCAGTTCAGATAGTCTATCCTTAGTTTCTTTCAAGCTGTTATGCCAGCTTTCGATAGAGTTTTTAGTTTCCTGGTAATCTCTTTGAACCTGCTTCATGTATTCTGTGTTTTCTCTATTTTCTCCATCAAACAATTCTCCCCTCTTTTTCTGTTCTTCCATTCCACCATCTGTTTTTTCTTGGGCGGTGCTTAGCATTTCTCTAACTATTCTACTTACATCTTGCTTTATTTCGTTAAAAACTTCATTTTTAAACTTGTCTATGAGGCTCTGGAGATACTGCTTTATGTCTATTAGTGCTGTGTCTGATATTGCATTTTTTTCTGTCTTCCTTTGCGTTTCCCTTTCCTGGATCAGTGTTTTCAGGATTGGGGACTGAGGATCCTTTCTTGTTGCTTCCTCTTCCCATACTTTTTGTTCCTTCCATACAAGTGAATGTAGGAGGCCCAATTTTTTTCTCTTTTTCGGTTACGGTTTATTTGAATTGTGCCGGCTAGGTGTTCCCGCCCACTGCAGTGCACTAGGGAGACACAGACTCTGCAGCCTCTGCTGGGCCTGCCCCTCCAGGTCACCCTACTGAAGGCTTCACTAGTAGGGAGCACCTCCAGGTGCTGGGACCTGGTTTGAGTAGCCTACTGGGTCTTAGTCAGTGGCATCACTCAGGCCAGGCACTCCCCACCAATCCCGCTTGAGAGGGGAATATGTGGCTAATGTCACTGCAGCATCCTGTTCTGGCAAGTCTGCCCGGTCCCAGTATGTCCTTTGCTGGAGCCTCCTACTCCATGAAAGGGTTCCCATTCCGCTCACTCACCGCAAGTCGATATAGGCTCCCTGCTAGCCCTGCTCTCAACTCCGTGCGCAGATTCCCGCTCTCAGAGCTTTCGCACATCTCTCTCTCTGCCCTGCAGATTTGGACGCAGCAGCGGCAGCAGGAAATTCAAATCATGGCTTCCAGTGACTTGGGTTCTAGCTTCTGCACTGAGATTTTATCTGTTCCTGTTATAGCACCAGGATTGGATTTCCAGTTGGTTTCTCTTAGCTTAGTTCATTTCTGGGTCAGCAGGGTGTATCTCCCCTCGCTTAGGACTCCTTGTACAGCACCATTCCTGGATTTTAAGCGGGGTATCTCAGAGAGCCTCCATAGCTGCTACTATCTATCTGCCATGTTCTTCCGGAAGTCCACGATAATTAGGTTCTTAAGGGGAGTGTTGGGAAGTAGCTTGCAAAGCAGACCAAGGTGTTCCAGTCCCTGGGTAATTGTGGAACACTTTTTTCTAGACTCTAGAAGTGTAGATGATTTTAAAGAGACATTTTCTAGTTCTCATTCCTAAAATTGAGCTGTTTAAGAACATCTGTGTGGATGGGGTTCCCCTCTTCCCTTCACAGTTACTGTTTTTCTTTATAAAAGAATGGTATGTGTTGTGTTGTTTTTAGGAGTAAGAATTTCCAGGATTCCAAACAAAAGGACAAAACAACAGCAAAAACAAAAACTGTAAGAAATCTAAAATATAAAGAGTAAGATAAAAGATATTAGGAAGTAGGGAGGTAAATCTTTTTCAAATGGAAAGAGGACTAAGAGACCGAAGGAGGGGTGGAGGGATGAAAAAAAGATTTGAGATGTGTTACACATATGCAGCAACCCCTCAGTGGGAATGTGACTATTATGTACTTGCAAACGTGCTAATAAAAAAAGAAAATCGAGAAAAAAGAAAAAGAGAGAGAGAAAGGATGATCTAGAACAGCAAAGTAAGAGAAAACAAAAACATTCTGAAAGTTTTTATGCCACAGCTATCTTGATATGACTTGAGTCACAGCCTGACAGAAATAATTCAGTGTAAACTCCAATTGAAGATGCAAATTGAATGACAAATTCAGATTCTAAAATACTACAATTTCTGAAAGTTCATTAACTTGATTTTTTGGGAAACATTTTGCATTTTTGAAAAAACTATCCAAGAAAATAAAACTAATTTTAACTAGTTTGTATTTTTAGAATAAAGTCAGTGCACTAATTGCAAAACTGGTCATATGTCCCTCCCACACAGGGCCCAAGATAGACCTTAATTTTATAGTTAAAGATCTTATTACAGTAACATCCAAGTTAAGATCCGCATTGAGAATTTAACTATATCTTCCCTTATATTTGGAAAGTTTTCTGACATTATTACTCTAACTGGGTTTTTTTATGTCATTTTTGCTGTCTTCTGATTTTTCACAAATTCCAGTTACTCTTAGATTAGTCTTCTCCAAGTCATCTAGCTGGTGCTGGGTCCGTCTCTCATGTTCTCCTGTTGCTTTTAAGGTACCTGTGAGTAATGGGTCTCTGACAGCAGCCCTGTCTCCTGGTTCTGGCACTCTGTCCTCACCTTGGTTGCTTCTGGTGCCCATACTTTCAATAGGAGTTTTAATTGCCTGGATTTCCATTTGGAATCTTTTCATGGACTTTTTCTTCTTTGTTAAACTAGTCATTCATGTTTTGTATTGTGATTCAAATTAATTTTTCTTTTCTTTTTTTTTTTTCTTTTGGTCTTTTTGAGACAGGGTTTCGCCATGTAGTTCAGGCTGGCCTTGGGCTCACTTTGTAGCCCAGGCTGATCCTGAACTTGCAGTGATCTCCTACCTCAGCCTCCCAAGTGCTGGGATTATAGAAGTACACCACCTCTCCTGGCTTCTCTTTTCCTTTTAATTTTTCCTTTTTCATTTTTTTTTCTCCATTGTTCTTTTCTGTTACCTTTATCTAACTGTAAGTTGCTATTAGTATCTTCTATAAACTTGTGGATCATTTTCTTGATTATGTTTGTTATTTGTTTAGTTATAGTATCTTTTTGAGCTTACTGATTACCTTAGTGATCTGTGTTT